GGAATTAAAATCACCACCAAATTATATACTACTACATTTAAAAAAATTAAATATCGGTAATATTCAAGAGACATTAGATAAGTTTCATAAACTCTCAATCAGTTTTATATAGAAGAAAGGATGTATATAGTTTAATAGTTAAATATGCCCTGATTTTTCGATCCACTATCATATCAATCCATTAGACATTTAAATGTTTTAGGATAAAAATTTATTTCTAAAATAGTAATATGTCATTACAGAGAAAATTTTAAAAATAATTCTACCAAATCTAATTTTTCATCAAATGTTTCACCAGTTTACAATTATACAGGGTTAAAAGAGCATCAACCTAAAAAAGAGAAAGAATAGATAAAGATCGTATTGAAAAAGAAAATAAACTATAATTTTAGAACTCAAGAGAGTATAAAAATAAATAATTTTTTTTTTTATTTATTATTTTTTTTTAAATTATTTTTATTTTTATTTTTATTTTTAAATTAAACTAATTGATTAATACTAATAGTATAAAATTCTTTTTTTTTTTTTTAATTGATGTAATTAAAGAAACATGTGACTCTACTGAAACCTTTTTTTGAATGAAATTAGGTCTTCTAAATATTTATATTTCTTTGAATTATTAAAAAAATGAATTAATAAAGAGTTTTTTATAATATATGATGATATTAATGAAAATATTTACAAAAACTCTAAGTATTGTCTTGGTCTTGCTGCTATTGCTTCTGGTTGTTTTTGTTGCTGTTGTGGTTGTGTTATTATATGATCACCTACTTTGTATTTCTTGGTATGTTCATTTTGTTTTCTAATTTGTCTCTGAAAGCAGCTTATTTTTTAATGGCTATGTACTGCTAGCTGATGATGAACTACTATATGATGAACCGCTATTTGATGAACCACTAGCCAATGATGATTTACTATCTGATGAACCTCTTGAAGAGTCCTCTAATGCATCTGAAGAGTCTTTCCAGAAGGCCATATTCTAATATTCACTTTTAGATATTAAGACACCATCTACATTATTAAATTGTGGTTGTTAGTTTGATTTATTTATTTTGATTTAATTAAATATATGAGAGTAAGTTGCAATCTGTATAGATTTTAATTTTAATTTCTACAATATTTGAACAGTTCTAATACCTGGTAAGTCTGATTATAAGTTTGCATTTATAAAGTAGAAAAAATGGTGAGAGATGCCAGTAGAAGGATGAAGCATAGTACTATATGGGAATAAAGCAATACCAATTAACTGTGGTGGAACATTTGTATTGTCTCTTTTACAATAAGATCTAGGTACTTGTGAAATAAGATGAATGAAACTTTTCTGTTAAACCATATGTTTAAGTATAGCAAGGGAAATTTGGAGATACTATAAAGAATTTGTTTATTGAAACGATGACTTCATTTATGAAACTTGAACCTCTATCAGATACTAAATTCTTTGGGGATCATATTTTAAATATATTTGATAAGCTAAAACCATTGGACTGTTTCACAATTTGAACAATATTTACGAAAGTTGAAGTTTACCCTTTTCCTTATCTAAACTATTTGTGTTCTATCACTGTTGCTTGGACCAAGGCAAATGTATTGAGATTCATATAAATAGTTGATAAGAATGAATATCTTCATTAGTGTTTAGTTGGATCTAAGTTTAATCTTTTTTTTGCCAATGTTTTTTTCATACATGATAACAGTGTACTAGCGTCTATAAGAGCTAAACGGTACATCCATTAACGCTTTTGAATTTTTACATGAACTTGTAATCGATTTGAATTTTGCTTTATCTGATTTACTCGAGATTGAAAGACTTTGAAAGACTTTGAGTTTCTGCGACTTTGTGACTTTTTATTTGATATTATTTTTGAGACTATTATAATATAGAAGCAATATTTTGTGGTTGGATTTATTAGACCAAATCTTTATATAATTGATTAAAATCCTTTCATTCATAATATCGACGACAGCAGATCCTGTTGGAGTATTGAATGGCATGTTTTAATTGTTAAATCTGTCTTTTGAAAAGTTATTTTAATTTATATTAGTAATTCTGTTTCTATTCCTACAACGATGCCATTTTCTATATATATAAGGGTTTGTTGCTGTTGTTGTTTTAAAATAATGTATTGATTTACTTACTTATTCTCGAAAGGTTTAAAACATATTTGAGTAATGTTATAATTATTATTATTTATTAGATGTGGTATAGTTTACATTATTAAAATTATTTATGTGTTTGTTTGTTTGTTGTGATCGAAAAAAATAAAATAAAAAAAAAAAAAATTAAAAAAAATTTTATTTTTTTTTTTTTTTTTTTAAAAAATATCGATTTTTAAAAATAAATATAATTTTAAAAATTTAAAATGGGACTCCATAACGTGTTGATATTTACTAAAAATTGGGGGTATACTTTTGAAAGAATTACAGACAACACCCAAAGACAGCATATATGAAAATAAAATAAGAGAGTAATTAAATCAGGTATTATTCCCCTACTGTGATAACGATAATTGATAAAAACTGAAGATAATAATAATATTTCAATCACTATTAAAAGCTTAATAAACACAAAAGTAATAGTAATTAGTCATTCTGTTGCAGAAAATATTTTAATTAAAAAGTGAAATTAGACTACAACGAAGATTGAACCTAATAACATCACCAGCAGTCTTAAATAAAATATTAATTAAACAACAAAGCACTACGATCAAAAAATTAAATAAATAAAATATTTTAATAACATTAAAAATATACAAATAAATAAATTTTTTTTTTTTATTAAATATTTTATTTTTCTTTATTATAATCAAATAAAATATTGTTTATTTTTATTAAAATTCTTTTTTTTTTTTTTTTTTTTTTTTAATACTAAATAGTGAATTATTTGGTGATACTAAAGAGGAGTATGGAAATGGAGATCGGAATGATTCTAATAAAGAAGTTGATATTTGGATTTGATATATAAATAAACATATGTTTTTTATATACATAAAGACCAATAGCAAAGGCGGCAATAAAGATGGAACCTGCAACTATAATTGGATAATTGGTACTACCTTTTACATATTTAGCAATAGAATCAATTGCAATAAATGGTAAACCACTATTACTATGAATATTTAAACGACTGATTTCACGTGATTTTTGTTTACCTTCTTCTTCAGTTGGTAATTTTATAAATTGAATATGAACATATGATGGTTGACGGCAAAAGAATGGAATTTTAATTGAATGGGCTTCTGGTAATGGGCTGCTAATACTCTTTTTGTTTCTAATAGTCACAATAACATTTTGTGGATCATTTGATTGTTTTTGACAAGTGACTTTGAATGAATTATTATCACCTGGAGTGATTGAGAGTGAGTTTTGTTCATTATTATCTGATGAGATAGTTTTAGAATAAATCTTTGGTTCTAAATGCCATGTCTCTTTACCACCACAGAAAGAAACCTCGGCCGATGAACCTAAACTTAATAAAAATTCTATTTGATCAGCTGGTGGAGAAGCAAAAATACGAATTTCTTCTCTCATTCCATTGTATTGAACTGAAATAACAGTTGAGCCTTCTTTTAGAGCCAAAAATTCACGAGATGAACATATGTCACTTGATATCTTTTGTTGGTCAACCTTTTCATGTGGTAAAATTTTGAAAATGGAATCATCTTTAACTTTCCATTCTAAACTATTAATTGAGCAAGATTCGAAATGAACTCCATTTGGTAAATGATTTGATAATAATTTAGTTGAGAGTACTAATTTTTTACCAACTTCGACCTCTACTTGAGATGATGAAAAAACAATTTGGTCTGGTTCTTGAACAATGACAATAGATCTAGCACAATTATTATTAGAAATAACACCTTTAGAATTGACATCAACAATGGATGTATTTCCAACTTTTGGATTCCAAATATAAGTTGGAGTTGAGTTTGGAAAATCTATAAAAAAAATTAAGGTTAATATTTATTATCCAATATTTACTTTTTAAAAAAGTTATATTTTTAGTTAATAGTTTATAGTTTATTTTAGTACCTGGAATGCAAATTGAAGAACTTGGATTTAATTGGGGTGTTTGGGTAAATCTTGATAAAAAAAATATAACTAAAAATGATAGAAATAAAATTTTATTTACTATCATATTTAGTTTGATTTTATATAAATATATATAAAATATATAAATATATAAAATAATAAAGAAAGAAAAAGTTGAAAAAATAAAATATTGAAAAATGTGTGAATATTATTTAATTAAAATTATAAAAAAAAAAAAATATTATTGTGTTGAAAAATTGTAAAAATAAAGCTATTATTTGTGTGAATAAAATAATAAAGAAAAAAAAAAAAAAATATTTTCTTTAATTCAAAAAAAAAAAAAAAAAATTAAAATAATAAAAATTTATTTATTAAAAAGAAAGAATTGTTTAATTTTTTTTATAAAATAAAGAAAATAATTAAAAAAATAATTGTAAAGCAATATTCTAGTTTATATCTTTTTTTTATATTATAGATTGATCATTTTTTTTATTTGATTTCGATTTTTTATTTAATTCTCTTTTAAATGATACCCAAAACATTAAACTAACTTTTTCATTGTAAAAAAATGATTTTAAAAAAATAAAAAAAAAATTAATTAAATTGATTATTTGTATGTTTTTTGAAACTAAATTTAAAGAAATAATTTTATATTATTAATTTAATGATTAGTTTTATAAAAAAAAAATAAAAATATGTGTTTTTTAAATAAATTTGAATTGTAAATAAAAAATAAAGAAGATTTTAAATCCACAAGTTTTTCATACAAATAAAGCTTTGATGCTCATTAAAAATAAATTTTAAACTTTTTATTATATTTTTATATTTTTTTTAACTAAATTTGTTTAAATAAAGTTATTGTTGTAAGTTATTTCTTGGGGTGAATTATCTTTCACAAATTTACCAATATATAAAAAAAAAAAAAAAAATTTAATTTTCATTCTAAAACTATAATAATACTATATTATAAAATGTCAATTATTAGTAAATATTAATTCTATAATTAAAATTTAAAATATAAATATTAACATTTATTTTTTTTTTATTTATTTTAATTTTATTTTTTTAATTTTTCATAGAATCTCTTTCATCATTGAACCCAGTTAACGGTGCCTCATCTAAATCAATGTTAAGTTCATCTGGAAGTGTCTCATTCTCTGATAATGAATCAGTTTGGTTCGGTAATAGCTTAAGTGGCAGTTCATGTGGTTTCAATCCATGTTTTAATTCATGCAGTGATGGTTACAGTAACATTATTAATATTAATATTGATATTGGTAATCGTCGTAGAAGATGCTGTTAAATTTACTCTAAAATAAATTATATTTATATATATTACCTTAAATTGATTCGAGTAATTATATTTATATTTTATCTGTGAAAAAAAAAATAAATAAAAAAATAACGCTTAAAAAAAAATTATATTTATTTTTATTTTATTTTCTTTTCTTTGTATTTTTAAATTGATTCCATCATCTTTTTTATCGAAATTGGTGATGATGATCAAACCATTTATTTTTTCCTTTTATTTATTTTTAAAATCTAATTTAATTTTATATCTAATTTTAATTTATATTATTATTTATATAATTTTATTTTTTTTATTTTAGTTCACTGAATTTATTAGTTCTGTACTCTAGAAGATGGTTTGGCAAGTAAAGTTGGAAGAACTGCAGATATATCTCCAAACTGGTAATGGAGGTAAATGTTGTGGATGTACCAATGGTGAGGTGTTGTTATTTTTATTAAATGGTGATGGTGGTATTAAATTATTTGATGATGATGGTGTATTTTTTTTTAAAATAATGAATTTAATTTTTGGTTTGGTTTAATTCGAACACCAATGGCATTGTTATTATTGGCACTAACTAAAAAATTTGGTGAGGATTTAAATTATTTGATGTTAAATTAGCACTGCCACGTCTAAAAACTCTTGTAAACACGGTTTAAATGATTGATTGCTAATTTAGATTGCTTCTCTTGAGTAGTTGCTATATTTATCTATTTATCTTAAAATATTTAACTTTTCTTTCATTCTTTGTCTTATCTCTTCTTCGATATTTTCAATTTTAAATTTTAATAATTGAGTATTTTCATTTCTAACTGTTTCTAAATGAACCTTTTGAGTCAGAAATATCTAATTTTCAAAGTTGTTCAGCCTGTATCATCATTTTAATTGGAAGATCGTCATCGAGATTTCATATTCTAATATTCACTTTTAGCTATTTAGACACCATCTACATTATTTAATGGTTTTAATTGATAAATATATCTTTTGAATATTAATAAAAGTTAATTTAATTTATGTTTGTGGATCTGCTTCTATTTTCTATATTTCTTCAACGATGCTAATTTCTATGTGTGTGGGTTTGTTGTTATTATTATTGTTGTTGTTGTTTTAAAATAATGTATTGATTTCTAAATTGTTCTAAAAAGGTTTTAAACATATTTCGCTAATGTAAAAATTATTATTTTTGGTTTGATGTAATATATTTTATATTATTAAAATTATTTGTGTGTGTTTGTTGTGTGTTGAAAAAAATAAAAATAAAAATAAATAAAAAAATTGGGAAAAATTTAAAATTTTTTTTTTAAAATTATTTGAATTTTAAAAATAAAAATGGCGGTAATGTGTGTTTTAAAAAATCTTATAAAAAGATGCCCATAATTTTACTACACATTTTTAAATCTACATATTTTTATTTTTTACTCAAGAAATAGTTTTAATAAATTTTATGTATAAAATAAAAAAAAATTAATAATAATAAATATAATAATAAATAAATAGTAAACAAAATAATAATTAATTATTTATTTATGTCAAAGTATACCTAATCAATGGCCCGTAAGGGAACAGGGGTGTGACATTCACATAGTGTTTGGCATCGTGGTAATCCTCCGTTTTTTAAACCATATTTCCTTAATATAACGGATATATGCCCGGGCTATATCAAATCTTTATATTATTTAGTGTGGACCTCTTTAAAAAACTGACAGGTGAATGGCATAGATATTAATTATATTATTATTTTGAACTATTTATTTATTTATTCATATAATAATAAAACAAATAAAAAACAAATAACAGTGAGCGAGCTTTAAAATTTATTATCAAATACTGTAATTTTATAAATATTAATATTTTTTTTTTAATTAAAAATGTATTTTTTTTTTATTTTCAATATACTTTTTCATAAAATTAATACCTTTTTTGTTTAAAAAAATAATAATTAATAAAAAAAAAAAAAAATATTATAGGTAATCAATATTTGCAAAGATTCAAGAAAAAGAACTAAACAAGATTCAAAGTAGCAAGTATGAAGATTCAAGAAAATGAAGTATCAAGGCTAGCTTGGTAATTTGATGGGTATAGGTTGGGCCCTCTTGGTATATGTATTCAGAGATAAATTATCAAATTTTCAAGAAGATTCAAGGTTATCGAGTATGAAGATTCAAGTGTGAAGTATCAAGACTGGTTTGGTATATTGATCTGTATAATCAGACATTTTTTTTATGGAAAAATCGTAAAAATTAAAAAAAATCTATTATTTCCATATGTTGGAAATAATAGATTTTATAGACCAAATAAGATACAAGTATTGTTCCAGAAGAATCAAGCTTAGCATCATCAATAGAATTAGAAAAGATTAAGTAAAATGCAGAAATTATTAATGAAGCAATTATTTATAGATTCAGTAAAAAGTAATAAAGATGATAATAAGAGTGAAGTATCTAAATCGAAAAAGGTAATCGATGAGTATAAGAATATAGAAAAAGTTATAAATATTTACTAATTAAACTAGATAGTTATTAATAAAAAATAAAACTATTCATATAAAATACAATAATTTTTTTTAATAATTATGAAGTCGAATTTCAAAAATTAATAATAAAATTAAAATAAAAGTAAATTAAAAATAAATTTTCATTTTTAATTTAACTAAATTTTTTTATAAATAGATAATAATAATATTTATTCTTCAGAATTAAACTTATAAAGTATTAAAATATATAGAAATAATATTTGAAATTAAATAATATTTTTTTTTAAATCATTTTTTTACAATTAGCTAGGTATTCAGGATATCATTTAAGAGAGAATTTAATAAATTTTTCAAATCAAAATATAGAATAAATTATTATTCTCAATTTAAAACTATAAAAATAAAAAAAAACCTATACAGCTATATCAAATTAAATAAATATAAATTAAAATAATTTAATAAAAACATTATTAAACAATTGAATATTTTTTAATTTATTTTTTTAAAAATTTTTTTTTAAAAATTTTTAAATTTCTTTTTTTTTTTTTCATTTATTAAAATTAAAGCTTTCATTCACTCACACTCTTTTTTTACATCCAGCTTATATTTTTTTATACATTAAATTTATTTTTTTATTTTTTACACTTATATACATTTAATTTTATTTTAAATAATTATTTATTTTTTTAAAAAAAATGATTCATATTTTATTATTGTGCATTTTTTTATTTATTGTTGTTGGTGCCATTTTTTATTATTGTTTTGGAAAGTTCATCTTCAAGAAAAACAACCGTTGCCCTTGCCGTTGCTCTACCATTAAAGGGGAATACTGCCATCATTGTGCCTTTAATTCCGATTTCAGGGATAAGGTATATGTAGAAAGTCTACATCTTGGATACGATCATAGAAACTATCGTGACAGACTAGACGGAATACACTCACTTGAAAGATTTATGCTCTATGATGAACAAGTACAACAAAATCTAAGACTATACCAACAACAAACAAGACAACAACAACAACATGAACTACCATATCAACAACAAATGAACCTAGAACATCACCAGATAATGCAACTACGTCAACAACAACAACTAGAAAAACAACAACTATACCAACAACAAGAACAAGAAAGACAAAGACAACAACAATATCAAAGATTTCAACAAGATTTTCTATTTTATCAAATTGGGGAACAACATCTTCAACAACTAGAACAACTACATCAACATAAGCTACAAAGACTACAACAACAAAAACAACAACATTTTTTTTGGAGATACTTTTAAGTAATTATTATTTAAAAAAAATTCTTTAGTTGATGTAATATTAGTTGTACCGAACAAATGGGTATGTGTGCTTATTCTAGGTAGTAAGCCAATTAAAAACAAGATAGAATCAAATCAATAGAAAATTAAAAGTAATTAATGAAGAGTTCAAGTAGTTGTTTGTAATTAATGTGTTAAACCATCTCGTTGTATTTGCTAAAGTAATTCACCATTCATTGCCACCGTTGGTTCTCAAAGATGATAGAAAGACATGTTTCGCTATAGAGTAGTTCAGTAAAAAGAAAAGTATTTGTGCAATTCCAAAGAGTTTTGAATATTATGGAAGTAGAAATAGATCGTTTATTAAAAGCAACTCCAAACAATATTACTCCAATCATTTTTTCAATGGTAAAATCACAATTTGCTGATTTAAACTCATTGAAATCAAATTGATGATCAAGTTCAAGATTTTGATGATTTATTAGTTTCATCACCATAATAAGAACCAGAAAAGAAAATGACATTTTTCAAATAACTATAATAATGAATCATCAGCTTCAGAAAATTTACAAGAAGGACATAAAGAAAAATCATCACCCAGCATCACCAATTGACTCATCATCTTAAATACAAAAAGAAAATATTCATCGTACTGGCTATGTACCAAAAGTTGTAAGAGCTCAACAATATAATAAAGATGAAGATGAAAATGAAGAAGACCTTTTAGATTTTGAAACGGATTAATATTGAAATCGAAGGCGATTAAATTAATAGTTTTGATAATTCATTCTATATTTCTTTTTAAGAAATAGATGAAGACCAAATTATTAATAAAATCGTTTCATTCTATGTTTCAATTATTAAATCGTTAAATTTAAGAAAGTCAACTTCATCATCCAAGAAACAAATCACATCTTTATCAACATTTCAAATAAGAATAGCTCCAGTTCTTCCGCAAGCAGGGGTCAATTGAAAAGAAGAAATAGATTTTAAAGTGGCATTATCCAAAGAAAAAGCAAAAAGGGAAAGATGGAATAAAAAACTAAATTAACACCTCAAGTATTGTATATGGTTTGGAACCCAGAATTTCCTATAATATCAATATAAATTAATATTGAAATTTAGTTGTATATTACTCTAATAGTACAAGATAAATTTATTTGAATCTCAAGTAGAACAAGCAGTTCATTATAAGAAGAATAGAAAAGAATTGAAATCAAAAAATAGTATAGTTTTAAATCTAATTATTTTCCAGGATTAATTCAAATGATAAGTAAAATTTTCAAGTCTTTTAAAAAAAAGAAAATAAAATACAAACAATTATTATAATTTAAAATTTTAAACTAAATAAAATAAAAAAAATTATTACTGTATTATGTAATATAAATTTTTGATATTTTTAATAAAAATTATTACTACATTATTTAATATAAAGTTTTGATATTTTTAATAAATTTTATTTTAGACAACTATTACTTTTTAAGCTATAATAATAATACCATCTGTTTCAGTATCTGTTGAAAAGCTGATAGGAACAACCAATAGAATTGGTTATTATTTTTTTTAAATTTTTTTTTTTTTTTTTTTTTTTTTTTTTGTTTTTTTGTGTTGAAAAAAAAAAAAGTAAAAAATTTTTATAAAAAAAACAATTAAAAACCAAATTTTGGGAATTAAAAGGGGTGAAAAAAAAAAAAAAAAATTTGTTTTTAAAAATAATTTTTTTTTAAAAAAAAATTAAAAAAAAAATAAAAAAATTAATTTTGAGTTTTTTAAATTTTTTTTTTTTTTTTTTTTTTTTTGGTTTTTTTTTAATTTAAAATATAAAAACTAAAATATATTTATAAAAAAAACAATAAAAAAACAAATATATGTAAATGAAAAGAGTGATAAAAAAAAAAAAACAAAATAAGTTATTAAAAATAATTTATTTTTCAAAAAAAATTAAAAAAAAAATAAAAAAATTAATTTTGAGTTTTTTGAATTTTTTTTTTTTATTTTATTTATAGACCATCATATACTGAATGTATTATTATGGTACATAATGAGGTATATATAATTACAAAAGTTTTGCACTACCTTCTGTCTATCAGTTAAGAGTTGCTGAATAAAAAAGTAAACACATGTATTAACTATTTAAATTAGAAATTATAATACAGGCAGATGATTATATTAATAAAATCTAGAGATATTAAGCTTTTTTTTGAGACTAATAGAGATGTAAATTTAATTAGTTTACTATACGAAAAGAAAAAAGAACAGCTACACATGTTTGATTTAGTAGAATGTGCATACTATTTAGATAATATAGAAGCATTGGAGTATTTCCTATCAATGAATGTACCAACATTTTTACCAAACTACACAAATAATAATAAAAGTTTTTCAATATCATCGATTAAATCATTAGAATTACTATTAAAATATCGAGTAAATATCATAGAACCTTATAATATCAATATCAATAATAACAATAACAATAATAACACAACATCAGCTTCAGCTTCATCATCATCATTCAGTTTAAACAATAGTAATAATAATAATTATACAATAACAGTAGCATTAGCATTCAGTTTAAAAAATAGTTATAGTAACTATAATTTAAATAGTAGTATTAGTGAATATAGCAATCTAAATAATAATAGTATCAGTTTAGCCCGAAGGGCAAGTTGTAGTAGTATAAGCAGTTGTAATAGTAATGATAGCAATAAGCGGTAGTTGCGGTTGCAACAATAAAAACAGTAATAGATTTTTAATTAATAATGGTAATATAACACTTTCACTACCACCATCATCATTAAGAAATTTAAATAAAGAGAAATTTAATTAAAGAGGAATTAAAATCACCACCAAATTATATACTACTACATTTAAAACATTAAATATCGGTAATATTCAAGAGACATTAGATAAGTTTCATTCAAACAGAGCGGACCACCCAAAGATTACCTATGAAGCAAAAAAGAAATATCTCGAGTATTCAAATATTGAAGATATAGAAAAACTATTTAGAGCAATCAGTACATATTCTGCAGGTATACCATTCAATAAACTCTCAATCAGATTTATATGGAAGAAAGGATGTATATAGTTTAATAGTTAAATATGCCCTGATTTTTCGATCCACTATCATAGCCAATCCATTGGACATTTAATTGTTTTAGGATAAAAATTTATTTCGGCTAAAATAGTAATATGTCATCACAGAGAAAATTTTAAAAATAATTCTACCAAATCTAATTTTTCATCAAATGTTTCACCAGTTTACAATTATACAGGGTCAAAAGAGCATCAACCTAAAAAAGAGAAAGAATAGATAAAGAACTTATTGAAAAAAAAAACAAACTATAATTTTAGAACTCAAGAGAGTATAAAAATAAATAATTTTTTTTTTTATTTATTATTTTTTTTTAAATTATTTATATTTTTATTTTAAAATTAAACTAAGAATTCCGATGGAATATCAATTTCGATTACTATATAGGAAGGTTTTACTACATTGACACTTGATTGAACCTTATTTTCCATAATTTTTTTATTTTAAACCAATAAATCAGTAACACCAGGTAATTTCATAGCAATAGATTTTGAACTATCGGTATTTCCAACTTTTGGATGACCAAATATAATTTGGATTTGGCAAAGGAATGCAACAATATTTGGCCCAGCAACCAATAATTCTCTTTCGAAACCACTCTATAAATATTTCTTCTCTTTTTCGATTCTGTCAGCATCTGCTTGTTGAGCTAATGCATCCAATGCATTGACACCTTTAAATGAAGCTAAATTATTTGCAAATCTTTTACGATCATCATCATCTTGACATTGACCACCTTGAAGACGTACACTTTCAAATAGATTTTGAGTGAGTGCACCAATTTTTCTAGCTGCATCCATAAATTTACTTTGTAATTCGGGATCTATAATTAATCTTGAGGAACTTTTAGAGTCATGTAATAAATCTTTAAATGAATCTGAAACTGAATTGACAGCGGCGAAAATATCCATTTCTAAATCATCACCCTCTTGATTACAAAGTTCATGTAAACGATTGGCTTGTTGCATATGGTGTAAAAGATCTTTGATTACCATTTGATGAGTTGCTTCTAGATTACCTAAAGTATTTGAAGATATTGAGAAACATTACCATTAATAGTACCAAACTCTTTTTCTAAACTTAAAAGTCTTTGAAGTTCTTTCCAATCTCTAATAGAAATTAATTGTTCACAAAGTTGATCATTTTGTACTTCGGCTGTATAGTGGTCGTTAATGCTTGTCATCTCTTGAAGTCTCTTTCTTGCAGCAGTGCTTCACGTTCTACGAGTTTCAATGCTAATGCTTTGTTTTTATCAATTCCTTCTTGTAAAAGTTTTCCAACTCTTCGATTCTAGTGATTATTTTAGTGATAACTCTGGTTTTGCCTTGACTATCGGTAGCTCCATTACTTTTGGCAGTTTGTAGCTTTGGTGGTGATGCAGCATTATCAACAATGACATTAGCTTCTATCTTTTCGAGGTCAGGTGGAGTACTAGTTGAACATTGTATAGTTGGGACATCATTATCATCAAATGTAACCCATGGGAGAAGATTGTTGTGGTGATTGGTTTGTAATTGCAATTCCTGTGTGGTTTGGTTACTGTATTCTTGATGCGGTTGTACAACTGGTTGCACTCTACCAACGAACGATCCTGATCTCTTACTATTACCTCTACTGCTAATTGACAATGATCCTGATCTACCTTTGCTTCCAATAGCATTTCTTAATTGTAAATCTATAATCTCTGTACATTCTTTTTCAAACTGCTTGCCTAACTCTTCAAATTGTAATTGTAACTTTTTAACCTTTGATCATCATTCCTATCAAAACCATTTGAAAACTCTTTTTTATATTATTTATTGTTTCATAAATAATATAATTTTGTTGTTGTTGCTGCAATAATTGTTGTTGTTGTATCATTGTTTGTTGTTGGGTTAAAAGATTTCAATCTTGATACATTATTTGATCCAAATTGACCCTATATTGAGTTATTATCCTGTTGTTGCATGGAGCACGAATAAATACTGGTGTTGGTACTGGTACAGGAATTTGTTCTGGTTGTGGTAGTTTTTCAAAAACTGGTGGAAGAGTTGGTTTAGGTTTTGGATTTGGTTGTTCTTTAACTTGAATTTGGTGATGTTTGGGTGTGACTATTATTTCTTATTGAGGACTGCTTTTGGTTTAGCAGTATATTGATTTTTAACTATTAATTATTATAATATGTTTTAATATTAACTTTCTTAAAGGCTTCTAATAACTGAGGACTGATTATTGATTTACCGAGTTAATTAATTTTTTTATATATAGATGACTAATATTGGGGTATTTAATATATTTGATTGTTTTTTTGAATTATTTGCTAAAATCCTGTTTTGATAATGGTTCATAACCTAATACTGAAAAGATTTCGGGTAGGCCAAACTCTAATATTCACTTTTAGCTATTAGATGATTTCCTCGAGATTGAAAGACTTTAAAATTCTGCGACTTTGTGACTTTTTATGATAGTTATTGATATTAATTTTGAGATTATTATTATTATTATGTTCGTAGTTGGATTGGTATTTACTATTATTTGTAAATATTATAAAATCTCTTTTAATAGGTTCGCTGTGCATTTGATAAACATAGTCTAAATATTTATTGATTAAAAACCTTTCATTCATGATATCGACGACAGCAGATACTGTGGGGGTATTGAATGGTTTTAATTGGTAAATATGCCTTTTGAATATTAATAAAAGTTAATTTAATTTATGTTAGTAACTCTGCGTCTATTTTCTATATTTCCTCAACGATGCCATTTTCTATGTATATGGGTTTGTTGTTGTTGTTTTAAAATAATGTATTAATTTACTTACTTGTTCTCGAAAGGCTTTAAACATATTTTCAGTAATGTTAAAATTATTATTATTTACTATTGATTGGATGTGCTATAGTTTACATTATTAAATTATTTATTTATGTTTGTGTTTGTTTGTTGCAATCGAAAAAAATAAATTAAAAAAAAATTAAAAAAAATTAAAAAAAATTAAAAAAATTATTATACACCCATTTTTAAAATAATATTTTTAAAAAAAAATCTAAAAATAAATAATTACAAAAATTTTTTTTTTTTTTTTTAATTTTTTTTATTTTTTTTTAATTTTTTTTTTTTAATTTACAACAAACAAACATACACATAAATAGTTTTAATAATACAAACTATGGCATATCCAATCAATAATAATAATAATATTAATGAAATATGTTTTAAAAACTTTCAATAACCTTTATAGAACAAGTAAGTAAATTAATACATTATTTTAAAACAACAACAACAGCAACAAACCAATATGCATATAGGAAGTGGCATCCTTTAAAGAAAAATAGAAACAGAAATACTAACATAAATTAAATTAACTTTTATTAATATTCAAAAGACAGATTTACCAATTAAAACCATTCAATACCCCCAACAGTATCTGCTGTCGTCGATATCATGAATGAAAGGTTTTTAATTAATAATATAAAGATTTGGCCTATGTTTATCAAATGCACAGTGAACCTATTAAAAGAGATTTTATACTATTTACAAATAATAATAATAAATACCAATCCAATTATGAACTATTACCCAATAATAACACAACAAATTGGTATTGCATAAATTTAATAATAGAGTACAATATTTAAATACTCCAATTTTAGTCATCTATATATAAAAAAAATAATAGTATTAACTCAGTAAATCAATAAATCAATAAATCAATAATCAGTCCTCAGTTATTAGAAACCTTTAAGAAAGCTAATATTAAAACATATTATAATAGTTAAAAATCAATATAGTATCAAACCAAAGGCAGTTCTCATTAAGAAATAACAGTCACACCCAAAAATCACCAAATTCGACTTATTACCATATAATTAATAAAACGCCTCACATTTTTCAGTACCATCGCTGCGGGTGCTGCTGCAGGTTGTGCTACTTCGGGTGGTGAAGGTAGCACAGGTGGCACAAGTGGTACAGGTGACACATGAACAAGTGGATCAACTAGCATATCAACAGGTATAATAGCAGATAACTCTTCAGACTGGAAAGATTCTTCAGACTCATCAAATAGCAGATCATCATCAGCAGTGGTTCATCAGTTATCGGTTCATCAGATAGCAGTTCATCAGATAGTAGTTCATCATCAGCTAGCAGTTCATAGCCATTAAAAAATATTTTCACCATCTCCCAAGCTTCAAATTTCTAATTTTATTCAAACTATAAAAATAATATTAATGTCTCTGTCATATGAGCATACCAAGAAATACAAAATAGGTGATACAATAATACCACAACATCAACAACAACCAGAAACAATACCAGTTAGAACAAATCATTAAAGAATTGAGTAAACGATATAAGCTGCTTTCAGGCAAATTAGACAAAATGAACATAACAAGAAATACAAAGTATGTGAACATATAATAACACAACCACAACAGCAACAAAAACAACCAGAAGCAATAGCAGCAAGACCAAGACAATACTCATATAAACCTTGTGCACCAAGACTACCTGAAAAAAAAATTGTATGTTGTATTTCGACATAATTGACCCTAATCTAATTTGAGAATGTGGATGCATCCTCGAATGATTATTTATCTCAATAGATACTTTAGAGAATAGAAAATTTATGGTTTATTAAAAAAGGTAGAAGTTTTTGGAAAAATCAAAACATTAAGAATAGGGCTAAAATTAATCAACAAAGAAGTGTAACTTTAAATTCTCTTATCAAAAGCAGAAAACGAAATTAAAATTCCCAAAGGTTATATTAAGGAGTTAGAAATCTTTTGATGATTCCCCTCGTTCATCTGGTTTACAATCTGCTTCAATTGCCTCCGTCATTAGAGAAAAAGATCAAGTATTAAAAGTAAAATACATTTCATTAGAAAAGCAATTATTTAAAAAAGAAGAGGAGAAGAGAGCTTTTAGAACAATTAGAATTTGCCCAAGATCTTCAATCCGAAAATCACAATACTAAATCAGAGATTACAATTCTTCAAGATAAATTCAGTAAAGAATCTTTCAACATTGGCCATGATACTCTAGTTGGTGTATCAAAAGTTTCACCGAGTTCTCGTACTGATAGGGGGATCCATCAGCATAGGTTTCTAAGAAAACTGATGAATTCGAAGAGAAAGCAGAACAAATAAATCCACTAAAAGCGGTAGCATCAAATTAATCAAAAATCTAATGTTGGTATTTCAAATGCAGGTGCTAATAGTTCACCAATCATCTCATTGAATACTTCAGAAGAAATCAATGGTTATAGAATCAAAGAGATTGAACATGTATTTGAAAGTTATAGAATTGCAAAAGAGAGAGAATTTAGCAATGGAAAAAGATTTAAAAACCAAACAGTTTATAGAAAGTCAAATAAATAGCAGTAGATCCAAGAAATCTCGATGACGAGCTTACAACTGAAATGATGATACAGGTTGAACAACTTAGAAAATTAGAAAACACAGCATTAAATTCCAAATAGCTCATCATCAATTTGGAACTCATTATTTAAAAAAAAATCACCATCATCAAATAATTTAAAATCACAAACACCATTTAATAAAATAACAACACTTCACCATTGGTACCTCCACAACATTTACCAATACCAATTTGGATATAAAATATCTCTGCAGTTCTACCAACCTCACTTACCAAACCATCTTCTAGAGAACAGAACTAATAAATTCAATAAACTAAAATAAAAAAAATAAAATAATATAAATAATAATATAAATTAAATATAATTTTTTTTATAAGTGATATTTTTTTTTTTCACAGATAAAATATACTCGAATCAGTTTTAGGTAAAATATATGTAAATATAATTTATTTTTAGGGTAAATTTAACAGCATCTTCTACGACGATGACCAATATCAATATCAATATTAATAATGTTACTGTTACCACTGCATGGATTAAAACATGGATTGAAACCACATGAACTGCCACCTAAGCTATTATTGAACCAAACAGATTCATTATCAGAGAATGAGACACTTCCAGATGAGCTTAAATTTGATTTAGATGAGACACCGTTAACTGGGTTCATTAATGAAATAGATTCTATGAAAAATTAAATAAAATAAAAACAAAAAAAAAAAAATAAATGTTAATATTTATATTTTTAAAATTTAAATATAGCTTTATTAATATTTACTAATAATTGACATTTTATAATATAGTTTTTTTATTTTTTTAATATATAGTTGGTTTTTAATTGAAATGAAAATTAAATTTTTTTTTTTTTTTTTTTATATTTTGGTAAATTTGTGAAAGATAATTCACCCAAAGAAATAACTTATAACAAGTTGAATTTAATAAAAATTAAACAACGAAATAAATTAAATTTTTAGGTCAAAGCATTATTAGTATCATAAAAACAGTAAATTTATAATCTACTTTATTTTTTTATTTCAAATTTAAATTTATTTAAAAAAACACATATTTATAATTTTAAATATAATTTTAATTTTTTTTTTATTAAAATTCATTAAATCATTAAATAAATAATCTATTATTATTACTTTAAATATAGTTTTATAAATTATATAAATAATCAATTAATTAATAATAATAATAATAATAATAATAATAATAATAATTTTTTTATTTTATTTAATTTTATTTATTTTTTATTTAATTTTTTATTTATTTTTTATAATTAATTAAAAAATATTATTTGTATAATTTAATTGAATAATTAAATCGAACAATTATAGTTTCTTTAGAATGAATATTAAAATAAATATTTATAGTTATTATACTTTCCTTAAAGTGGTCTTTTAGATTATAAATTTAATTATAAAAACTATTATTATAAAATCTATAGTGGCTATTAGTTTAAAATTATTATTATTTTAATTTTTAATAATGATGTTCGAAATTTCTAATTCCTTTATTAAAATTTGGGGAGTGTGGTAAATTTCATTTTTTTTAAATTAAATTTTTTTTTTTTTTTTATTAAAAATTTTTTTTTTTGTGGTGTGTGGGGGAAAATTTTTTTTTTTTTTTCATTTTTATTTTCGTTTTATCAATATACATTTATTTTATTTTTTATAATAGCCAAGCGAACAAACAAACAGGTAATTATATATATATATATAATATGTGATAAAAATAAATACTAATTTTATTTTTTTTTTTATTCCTCAGCATTCATTGTTTTGGTCCTCAGCATTATCCTCTTCAGCATTCATCTTGGTCCTCATCATCATCATCATGAGCATCCTCACCGGCATTCGTCTTGGTCCTCAGCGTTATCATCGTCAGCATTCATATTGGTCCTCATCATCATTAGCATTCATCTTGGTCCTCATCATCATCATGAGCATCCTCACCGGCATTCGTCTTGGTCCTCAACATTATCACCATCAGCATTCATCTTGGTCCTCATCATCATTCATCTTGGTCCTCATCAGCATCCCCACCGGCATTCATATTGGTCATCATCAGCATCCTCACCGGCATTCGTTTTGGTCCTCAGCATTATCATCATTAGAAGCATTCATCAGCAGCATTTATCAGCAGCATTCATCGTCAGCATTCATCTTGGTCCTCATCATCATTGGCATTCATCTTGGTCCTCCTCATCATGAGCATCCTCACCGGCATTCATCTTGGTCCTCATCATCATCAGCATCAGCTTTCATAAGCTGCAGCATCATCAACCCTAAAACTTTAGAAAAGAACTTTTAGTAAATCAATAATAATCAATAATTTTATAAAAAAAAAAAAAAAAAAAAAAAAAGAAAAAAAGAAAAAAAAAAATAATAATAATAGAATCCAACATTCCCCATTTTTCTTTTTTTTTGTGGGAGAAAAACTTTTTCCCCCGCCCGGCAAAAATTTTGGGACCTCAAAAATTTTTATAATTGAAATAATTTTTCTTTTTAGGGGATTTAAAACCCATTTATCCAAAAAAAAAAAAAAAAAAAAGAAAAAAAGAAAAAAAGAAAAAAAAAAAAAAAAAAAAAAAAAGAAAAAAAAAAAAAGTTTATAAATATTATATTTTTGTATATTTTTTTTATATATTTTTTTGAATATATTTTTTGGATATATTTTTTGTATAACCAAAAAAAAAAAAAAAGAAAAAAAGAAAAAAAAGAAAAAAAAAAAAAGTTTTTAAATTTAAGGATATATTTTTTTTTTGCATATTTTTTTGTTTTATTTTTTTGGATATATTTTTTTTTTGGCTTTTTTTTTTGAAAATATTTTTAGATTTATTTTTAAAAAAACCAAAAAAAAAAAAAAAAAAAAAAAAAAAAAAAAAAG